CCTCTACATGTCACCTCAAGTTTTTAGTGTCTTTTGGTATTGAGAACAGACGCTTAAACCTTGGAATAATGGGAAGATACCACAACACCTTAGCAGGAGGTCCCTCCGTGCCAGGATTGCAACTTATGCGCTTGTACCGCGACCGCTTGCATCGTGGACACTCCTGCAGTTTTTCATACTCATTTCGATACAAAATACAGTCATTAGGACATGCATGTATCTTCTTATACTCCAAACCAAAGGGACACATGAGCTTCTTTGCGTAATAATAAGACTTAGGAATTTCATTCCCATCAGGCAACATATCACTTAATGCGGTCAACAAAGAAGTAAAACTGATGTCTGTCCACCCATGCTTCGACTTAATGTTGAAAAGTGTTAGCACGGCCGATAGTTTGGAGTATTTTTTGCACCCGAGATACAAAGGCTTTTTGGAAGCCTCCGATAATAATTCAAACACTTCACCTTCAACACCTTGCAACATCTCATCCACTTGTTCATCCTCTACCTCATCTGCCTGATCTTCATCGGCTCCATCCTCACCATTATCAACGATATACTCATCATTCTCGTATTCCTCGTCCACATGAATCTCAGTGCTTCTAACACGCACATCATTCCGATCAAGATCCCCACTGTACTCTCCACTTTCTCCGTGCCAAATCCACACATGGTAAAATTGCCTAAACCCACGACATAATACATGATCTTTAATGATTTCAACACTATCGACCACATTCACACAATTACAATCAACACAAGGATAATAAAGGCCTTTGCCTCCCAGTTTGCGTTGATAAGCTAAAGCCCTCTCGCAAAACTCTTGAACCCCATTCCAAAATTCCAATGTATCGCGTCTACCATACATCCAACCACGATCCTTCTCCATTTATTAAATTGTCTCTAAACATATATATAGCACCATATAATTATAATGTGTAAGTGCTACATATTTTATGTAAATCAAATTCAAGTACAAAACGTGAATATACCATTCATATAGTGAAAAAATGCATGTTTCCAAAGGGTCCTTATCACTCCAACCTAACCCATCCTTGAATGTCTACTCTCACTAGTGAATGTATGTCAACTTTCCAATTTTAAGGAAAATCCGGCAGCATTTCCCCCTAGTTCTCCAAGTACACGATGTAGATAATTAATTACCCACATATGTACCCAGAGAACATAGTGAGGAAATGGTAAGCCGAGATGTTCCTTAAAATCGAAAAGAAAACATACATTCACCACCTAAGTGAGAGTACACATTCAAGAACAGTCCCAACAGGGGACTATTCAAGAGTTTCTCCTAATGAGAAAGCCTTGAACGGGTATCTAGGCATATGATGATGCAAGTATTCTACATATTGTTGTATTTATTTGCAATTAAACAATACACAAGTTGCAATTTCATGAATAAACTTTTATTAAATGGATAAATAGAAAGAAATATAGCTAAGTAAAGTTTATAAGTCATACCAATATAGCAATGCAACTACCCACTTGAGCTCAATATGTAGTCCTCAAGCTAATTAAACTCGTGCTTCAATTCACATATGAATCTATATATTACAAAAACAAAAATTAGCAACGTCATTAATTATCTAATTAATATATTCACAATTCTCTCATGTATTCACAATTCTCTAATTTATTCACAACTAATTAGGTGGCAATATCACTATTTATTTCTCTAATTTATGCACAATTCTCTAAATTATTCACAAATCTCTAACGTAATCACAATTCTCTAATTTATTCACAATTTTCTAATTTATTCACAACTAATTAGTAGCAAGGTCACTAATTCTTTAATATATTCACAATTACCCATTAAAACAACCTAAAATTACACATTAAAACATACAAAAACTCAACTATTTAAGTAACATTCTTACTAATCTCTATTATATTCATAATTACTCATTAAATCAACCTCAAAATAACCCATTAAAACTTATAAATTTTTCAACTAAGGAACAAGGTAATGCAAAATTACTCTAATCTATAATATGTATTCAAAATTACTCTAAACATACAAAATTACTCTAATGTATAATATGTATTCAAAATTTCTAAATAAACAACCAATGCAAAAATAAAAAAAAAAAATTATATATATACCTTAGGCGGTGGTGGAGGTAGCAGCGGTGGTGCGACTAGTGGAGGTAGCGCGGAGGTGGAGGCGGTGCGCGCTGGTGGAGGGAACAACGCGGAAGTGGAGGCGGTGCACTGCTGCTCAATTCGAACAATGCTGGTGGCTGGAGGGCGGTGAAATACAGAGAAGGGCAGGGAAGGGAAAAGACAAGGGCAGGGGAGAATTAAGGTGCTGGTTTTCGAACAATGCTGGTTTTCGACAATTCGTACAGTGCTGGTGGTGTTTCAACTCGTACAACGGCGGTGTTTCAATTCGAGAATTAAGGGCAGGGGGAGAATGTTGGTGGCTGGAGGAAGGATTGAAGGCGGCCGGTTTTCGAAACCCCTGGTGGCCGCCGGTGAAGGTGACGGTTGTGGTGGAGGGAGAGAGAGGAAGGATTGAAGGCCGCCGTTTTTCGAAACCCAGCTCTAATGAAACAGTAAGGAATGAAGAAGGAATGAAAGAGAAATAGAAAGAGAGGAAGGAGAAGAAGGTAGTCCGCGTTTTTTTTTTTAAATTGGGTCCGGTTCAATTGGCATCGGTTCAAACCGGTGCCTTTTAAATTTTAGGCACCGGTTCAGGTCAAACCGGTGCCTTTTCTCTTCTTCTAAAATCCCGCCCATTTCTGGACCGGTTTTGGGCACCGGTTTAGCCTGAACCGATGCTATATGGGGGGTGCCTAATGCTTTTTTTTCTACTAGTGATTCTTCCGAAGAAAATTCTGAAAGAGATTGAGGCTAGGTTCAGGTGCTTTCTTTGGACTGGATCCTCTGCCCCTGCTAAGAAGTCTTTGGTTGCTTGGAATAATGTCTGTCTTCCTAAAGTTTGTGGTGGCTGGAACTTGCTTTCTCTTCCTGAGTGGAATAAAGCAGCTGTCACTAAGTTACTTTGGGATATTGCTCACAAGGCTGATAATCTTTGGGTTAAGTGGGTCCATATCTACTATTTCAAGCATAAATATTGTTGGACCACCCCTACCCCTTCTAGATGCTCTTGGTTCTTGAAGAAGATTTTGAGTTGTAGAGATGTTGTGAATGATCAAGGGGGATGGGATGGTTTCGTACAGGGAAACAAGTTGAAAATCAAGAAGCTTTATGCTGCTATTAGGCCTCAAGTGCCTAAAGTTCCTTGGAAGAGAGTTACTTGCAATAACTTAGCAACTCCCAAAAGTGTTTTTATCTTGTGGCTAGCTTTGTGGAATAGGCTTGTCACTAAGGATAGGTTGCTTCAATGGCACATCTCTTGTGATCCAAGGTGTTTCTTATGTCTGAATGGCAATGAAAGTGTTCAACATTTATTTTTTGATTGTGAATTCTCTAGGAAGGTTTGGAGCAAGTTGTTGGGTATCTTACATGTTCCCAAGCTTGTTCAGCAGTTTAGTGATGAGGTCGATTGGATGAAGAAAATCTGCAGAAGTTCCAGATTGAAGAATAAAGTGATCCAGGTGGCCTTCACTGAAATAGTTTATGGTATTTGGATCCAAAGGAATGTAGTTCTTTTTACTGGTTTCTGCAAATCTGTTGATGCCCTAGTTAGGGATATTGTCTTTCATTCAGTTTGTAGAATCCCGGCGGGAAGCAAATATTTGATTGTTTAGGAGCTTGTCTCTGGCTCCTAGTGTTTGCGTTCTGGATTCTTTTTCTTGGGGTTTTTGGATTATCTGTCTTGTTTTGGTTGCTCGTTTCGCTCTTTATTTGATGATGGGTTTTGATGGTGCTTTTATTTTCTTGAAGTTGAGATTCCCGTTGCATCTATTATTGTTTTGCTGTTCTTTTTCTGCGACTGTATCTCTCTGCTGTCTGTTGGTTGCTGCTGTCTGCTTTGCTGTCCCTGCACTGCTGGTGTTGTGCTCTGCTGTTTGTGCTGCTGTGCACTGTTGTCTACTTGATGTTGCTGCTGCGCTGCTGTTTGTGCTACTGCACTGCTGTCTGTTGCTGCTGTTTGTTGCTGCTGCACTGCTGTTTGTTGTTGTTTGTTGCTGCTGCACTGATGTTTTGTTGCTGCTGCACTGATGTTTTGTTGCTGCTGCACTGTTGTTTGTTGCTGCTGCACTGCTGTTTGTACTACTGTGCACTACTGTTTGTGCTTGCTGCTGGTCTGTGCTCTGCTGTCTGCTGTCCGTTGCTCTGTGCCTTGCTGTCTGCTGATGGTGCAAGCTTTGTTGCTTTTGTTGTTGCTTGTTTTTTTTTGTTGGTTTCCTGGTCAGTTTGCAGGCATGTCTGCTTCTGATTGTTGTTTTTGGTGTTTTTTTTGGGTGTATGGCTTTGTTGTTTATTGCTGGTTTCGTTGTCTGGTCCTGGTTTCTGGAACCCTTCCTAGAAGGTGGCTGGAAATCTGAGTCCAGTTGTTCTAGGCCCTTCCTAGAACCCTTCCTAGAAGGCGGCTAGGTCTGGATCTAGAACTGGTTTTGGGGTTGGCCTGTTGTTTTCAAGTCTTGTGGTGTTCTGGTGGTAGTTATAACTTAGCTTTTGTAAGTTGTAACTTTCTCTCTTTGGTAATAAAATCTTATTTTTTTTAAAAAAAAAAAAAAAAAAATAGTGCGGTCCCACTAGTAGAAAAAATGCTATTTACAACGCCCTATTAGTAACTAACGTAAGTTAGGCTACTTACTAAGTCACTAATAGTAAACATCTAAGATAATGCCAGTTACTAATAATATGACATTAGTAACCGACATACACTAGTTGCAAAATGGTAATTGGCAACGAGTTATTGGCACCGGTTCTTAAGAACCGGTGGGGAAAAAAAGGGGGAAAATGGATGAGGTTTTAAGAGTAGAGTATTGCCACCGGTTCAAACCGAACCGATGGGGAAAATGTTTATCCCACCGGTTTTAAACTGGTGGCAAAAGGTAAAAAAAAAAAAAAAAATTGGTTCATCAGGGTCAAAACATAAAACCCTAACTTCTCTCTCTCCGCCTCCATTTCATTTCCTCTAATCTCCCTCTTTCTCCTCTCCTTTCTCTCTCCTCTCTCCTCTCATCTCCTCTCCCTTCTTCGCTCTCCTATCTCTTTCTTTTCGTTGATCTTCTTTCATCTCCTCTCCCTTCTTCGATCTCCTCTCTCTGTCTTCGATCTTCACCACCACAAATTCGACCACCGTCGCAAAGCCCACCACCACCACATCATCACTGCCGCAAAGCCACTTCCGCAAAACCGCCACCACCACCACAAAGTTCGACCACCGCCGCAAAGCCCACCGATATCAACAACAATTTCTGGGTATAATTATTCGAGGTTAGGGTTTAATTTATGGGTTTAATTCAATTTTAATCGATTTTGTTGGATTTAATTTTGGGTTTGATTTTAAATTTAAATCGATTATTGGATTTTAATTAGAGTTTTTCTCGATTTTTCGGGGTATAATTATCCGAATTTAATCGGTTTTGTATTTAATTTGAATTTTTTCGTGTTTTCTTGGTTTAATTTTGGGTTTAATTAATCGATTTTTCTGGGTACATGCATTTGTTTTTTTTTTTTTTTTTTTAATTTTGAGCTTTTCAGGTTTTTTTTTAATTTTTTAGGGGATTTGGTGTTTTTTTTCAATTTTTTTTTATAATTTTGAGTTTCTGGCTTTTTTTTTTCAGTTTGTGAGTATCTTCGTCGAATTCGGGGTCGGAGGAGCAAAATTGTTGGGCGATACTGCTTCTACTATTCAGCAACTGATTCTGCTTCTTCGTTAATCTAATTTTTTTTTTTTTTTTTGTTGGCAAGTGTAAAAGTACAGATTATCAATTTCAATTTTATTATATATTAATGTATTATTATTGGAGATATTATTATTGTTGGCAAAAATGTATACATATAACATTGTGGTGATTATATATGAATTTCAATTATACTTGTAGCATTTGGTGTGTAATTAATTATTGATTATAAATTTCTATTATATTTGGTGTTGTATGAGTTTCCTGCTAATTTTTAAGACAAAAAAGACCAATTTTTTTTTTGGACATTTTTGGCACCAGTTAACCGGAAAAGGAGGATATCATATTTTTTTGGGCATTTTTGGCACCGGTTAATTGGTGCCTTCATGCACTAATTGAGACCCCCCACACTGGCACCGGTTCAAAACCGGTGGCATTGAGTGGTTTTGAACCGGTGCCGATTTCGTTTTTTCACGTAGTGATAGTAAATGCGAGTTACTAATACGTTGTTTGACATTTATGATGTTATATTAGTAACCAGCTAAATAAATGCATGTTACAAATACAAAGTCAAATAAACATTGACTAAACATATTGTAAGTGGCATATAAACGCCAGTTACAAATATTAAGGTAAAAATAAAAACTTTAACCAAATACTAGTAATTGGCTTCCAAATGCAAGTTACTACTACTTCTTATAACAAATTTAGCTTTTATTAATTTAATTTTTTGAGGAAACTTTTTTTATTGAATAACTCCGTAACAAACTTGCTCCATACTTGAATTTTTTTTACAATTTTTTTATTCTTCCATCTGCTTTCGCTCCATACTTGCGTGATTCCAGTTTCCTTGCTTTCGCTCCATACTCGCGCGACCTAGATTTTCGTTTCTCCTACCTAGCTTCTCCGCCAAGGTGCGTATCTTCTCCTACATAATTTATTTATGTAATTAGAATTGCTTTAGCGCGCCTAAAGGTGCGTATCAATCAAACTAGGTTCTTATAATTATCAATTGAAGAATAGCTTGAAATTCAATAGAAGTGGTCCAATCCAATTTTAAAGGTGTGTACCTTCGAATTATGGTTCTTTTAATAATCCCTTTGCTGATTAATTTTATAAGAACCCTAAAATTTGAATTAATTTTGTTGTTGTCGGTTACTTTTTTTTTATTTCAAATCAAATTGAATAATTTAAAACCTAATTAAAAACCAAGAAAATTGGGTTGTATGAATAATTTCAATTGATGAATTAAAAAGTTGTGTTCTTTGTGTGTTTGAACTCATGGTTAGAAATTATGAAACCAACAATGGGTGGATTTTTAGCTGTTGTTGTGCGTTCTTCTGTCCATGGGTCTGTCAAGTTTGTTAGCGGAAGAAGAGACCTTTGTTCTTGTGTTACCTCTAACATTAAAACAAAGGTACACAATGTGACTTTCAATAAAAAAAGTTACAACTGTAGCTATGTGTGATTGTCTATTGTTAATCATGAATAACCTTTGGGCAAACCTCCGTGACAATGTAAATTCACTTTTTCCAAATTATTTAGCACATTGCATGAGCTTATGTATCATGTTTCTTTTGTGTGGCAGTACAACCTTCCTCATTGGACCAGCTAAGAAATTAAGAAAGATGTTTGATCCTGTTCGTTTATATGAAACTGCAGTCTACTTGGGATGTGTAGTATTGGCACTAATCTGTGCTATTTTTGTAAGTTTTCTTTTTATTAATTTGGAATGCAATTGTTTTTGTGGGTTCATTATAGGGTGATCAGTTGATCACTATCTGCAACATTTTTAGATTTTTTTTGAATGTTATTGTTACTGTTATTGTCTTAAGGTTTAAAAGTAAAGACTTGGAGTAAATGTATAGAAAATACAACTAATCGTTTTTTTTTTCTTTAACTGGAATTTTAGTGATTTCCTTTAAAATTCATTAAGCATACTTCCTTGGCTACCTTAAGTGATATTTTTTTTTAAGATGATGACACTATAGTTGTTGATGATATTTGTTCTTGATGACCCTCTGACTTCTTGTTTTCTCTTTGATAGTTAGCTAAGATTTTCTTTTCTTATGAACTTTGAAGAGTTTGAATTATAGTCATTGAAGTTTGCTATGTAATTAAAATTTTCATGGCATGTAGATTGTAGTGTCTTTTTCTTCCTTTTATAAAACTTTTTTTCGTGGCATTTTTACTTTGGTGTGCTTACCCTTTATTGTTCCTGTAAAATAGGTCATTAAAGTGTTTTTTTCCCCTAGCTTTTTTATCTTTCTAAAGGAAGTTGAAGCCTTTGTTATGGTATGATATTGGCAATTTCATTTTCTTTTTGCCTTTTGCAGATCCACATCAAGATTTTAACTATGTTAGCTATGATATGTGCGATATATGTGCTTTCATTTGGTGTATATAAAAAATCAATCTTGAGCATGTGAATGTGATATATGCTTTGATGTATAAGAGATATCGATCTTACATTCTTTTCGCATTTTTTTGTTCTGATTTATTAAACAAATCTGTCTTACATTATTTTTGTACCTGATGTGGAAACATTGTTTTTGCATTTTTTTATTCTTATTTATAAGAAGGTCTATCTTACATTGTTGTTGCAGTAAATGTGGAACAAAAGTATTTATTTGTTGTAGTCAATGTGGAACAAAAGTATTTAGTTGATGACCGTTTTTTGTAAGTTATATGCCACGTGTCAGTCGTTAATTGGTCAATTATTTTTTAAATCATTAAAAACAAAAAAAATTTTAAAAAATAAAACAGAAAAAAACACCACCAGCCACCTCCCCCAGTCCCCGCACCACCCCAGCCACCTCCCCTACTCCCCGGCAACTTCCCCCCTCCCCAACCAGCCCCACCATCTGGGTCGTCGGATTCCGGCGATCTCCCCCCACCCCCCCACCCCTTGCCGCAACCTCCCCAACCACCAAAACCCCCTACGATCTAAATTCTAACCACCACACCAAACACCCTATTCGACCCTCCCAAACCAGCCTGACCCCTCCCCACCGCCCGCCGACCACAAACCGACAACCCCTGACCCGTTTCCACCCCTCCTCACCCTAAACCCGACCCCGATTTTCTAATACCCCTGACTCGTTTTTGGGGTTGTGGGTTCGATTTCGGGGTTCTGGGTTATGGGTTTGAGTTTGGGGTTGTGGGTTTTTGTAATACCCCGTATTTTTATACGTATTTTATTTAAAATATGTATTTTATAAGGGTATTTAAATAATTTTAATATTTTAATTATGGTGTTTTAATTATTTATCCTATGTAAGTTTGGAAATATTTTTACTAAAGGAAAGTTTGTTTAATTATTTATTTTATAAAAGTTGGGGTTTTATTTTAGGAAATTAAGATTTTAACAAGTTTTAGTAGTAGGGAAGGGATTAGGAAAAACTAAAGGAGGAAAGTTTAGGGTAAAAGGGTGACAGAGAAGGGGTATAAATATCCTTCTTATGAGGCAGTTCAACTTTGCCCAGAGTGGAGAAAACCCAAGGTAAACTTCTCTCCCTTTTCTTCGTATTTTTCTTCTTTCTTTTTCTTTTTCTTTCTCCTTCCCCTTCCCCTTTTTGTTTTCGCACTACCACCACCGGCAACCACCACCACCGGTGGGCCGCCGACCACCAGCCACCCAGCCGGCAGCAGCGGCGACCACAAGTGCTAGCAGCAGCCGGCAGTGGCGCCGACCTGCTGTCGGTAGTCGTGGGTTTCGAAAAAAAAAATTATTTAAAAATCAAATCTTTCTTCCTCAAATTTAATCTATGCTTTAATATAATTGTAAATTATGAGTTTTGGGATTTAATTTTGATGTTTGATTATTATAATTATGTTAATTAATTTTCAGATTTGGTTTTTAATTAAAAAGCCCTAATTTTTGAAACCCTAGGTTCTTGATTTATGAGTTATTGAAGGATTATGATGTATATTGGGGTAGACCTTTGTTTTAAGTGTTTTAAGGCTTAATTACAACAAGTTTTAATTAAAATAAAGGGCTGGAATTTTATGTAGAACACTTAATATTGTGTTTCTTGAAGAAATTTTAATTACCCATTAATTGGGACTTAATTATGGTGTTTTAAATATAATTTCAGCTTACTTTAATTAAATTATGAGGGGTTTTAAAATAGTACATATTGCTGGAAATTTGTTTAGAGTTGATTTTAATACTCTATTATGATTTTAATATGTAGGAGACTTTGAAGTAAGCAATTTCTACTAGTCGTGGCAATTTTAAAATCGTACTCAAGGTACGTTCGCGTACTTAGCATATTTTTGGTGATGTAATATCATGCTAGGCTTGATTTAATTAATCCTAAATAGTATCATGCTAAGATTTATGATTGAAAATTGTGGATTTTTTATATTGGTGATTAAATTAGAAAGCATGATTTATTTGAGATGGATTAATAGTTGGAAAATTAATGTTTGGCATGTTGTGTTTGAACCACACTTTTATTTATGGCATGTTAGAATGCATGATTAATTAAATTACATGCTTAGTTATGTTTGGAATATTGAAAAGGAATTTTATTATGGTTCAAATAATTTTTATTGATGCTTTAAGCATGAGGAAGGAGCTATATATGTGTCTGAGTACACAAGGAATAAATTTTATGTTGGTTCCTTTGTGCACTTAAGATGTTTTTAACACCGAGGGATAGGATTTTTGGCGCTTTATGCGTTTAAGGTGTCTTTGACACTAAGGTAGAATTAAAAAGGGTTCAACATTAAATAATATGTGATCACTAATTATTCAAGAATTAAATTGGTATGTTTGGTTGATTGAAAATATTGTTGATTGATTTATTATGCTTTGAGAGTCATCACCAAGTCCAATAACATGTAAATAACGTAAAGTGAAAGAGATTACGCGCCAAAACTTTTGGAACGTATATACCTTGAGTATGAACAATGGGGAGAGTTATGGGGTTTTATATTTAACCATAACCTCTAATGGAGTACATGACGCTGTACATTCCTTTTTATTTATTATCATGCTCAGGAATTCCACCACCTTTGAGTGGTTTTGTCGCTGGCACGGTTAGCTCCCGTGTCAGTTAACCTTAATTTATTAGGGGGAGGTATAATTGAAAACCCGTTCGATGCGTAATCAACGCTAATGAATTATTTAGTGTCTAGTTGAAGTGTCTTGTTGATTGTTGTGTGCGCTTGTAAACAGGTGCATTGAGGTAAGTGTGTGCTCATAGGTGAAAGCATGTTAGTGTGTTTAATTACGCTTACGTACTCA